TTTTTTTTTTTATGACACACATACAAACCACACTCTGACATCCATACCAACACACCCACACAATTATAGCTGCATTATTTATCCAATTGGCTCTATAATATGCAGAAGCAGAAAACAGAAATAGAGCGAGTATTTTCTTTATAGGTCAAACCTGAAAAAATGGCACCATCTGGTAAAAAATAGTAAAAAATTTAATTTGAAAGCCTTGCCAATGTAATGAAAGCCTATCAACAAAAATTGCATAATTTTACAGTTAAATGGCACTGCGATTAAAAATAGCAGTTTTAATGGGTTTCAATGGGGACATTTTTGTCCTTAAGGTCCTGAGAGGAATAAGTTTTTGTACCTAGTGCAAAACAGATTTATTAAAGTAAATGGAAGTGAAATAGTAAAATTCCAATAAAAATACACACCTGTGCCGAAATGTATGTAGTTGGCAATAACACAGGAAAAAAGATTTAAAAAAAAAAAAAAAAAAACTGAAAAGGACAAAAATGTCCAAAAGGTCGCACAAGGGTTAATTTGAACGCGTCCTTGAGAAACTCCAGCATCCGGGGATTCCATCATCCGGGGCTTGCCTCTGCCTTGTTCTTTCTCTGTTTATAAACAGAAAGAGCGCAGAATGGTCGATGCGCCGTGACGTCACTGCTCCAACCACGTCATTTTATTTTGACCTTTCAAAATGTTTTTCATACTGAACAAGAAATAATACCCATCAAAAAACCGCGTGTATTTAGTTACAATGCGAGCAACCACGCGTGCATTCGACATCAAGTGTACTTATTTTTTATTGCCACATGTAACGCACGTGTCGTCCGGTTCCTGGAACTGCAACAATATTAACCTTTAATTTGCCAGAGAGCTTAGAGTAAGGCCTATGAAAATGATCGAGAAAAAAATAAACACCTGAGACGAACTTTACGAAAAAATATTCACAATATCGCACTATTCCCCGCCAACTGTTTCAAAATGAGTGAAAGGCAAACGAGGGATAAATCGCACCCCGCTCCGGTCCAATAATCCATGACGTGTTTTCCACGCGCCATCTCCATGTTTTGACTACCACCGCCAACAGCAACACAGCGAACCCTACCAACACATAGCCGTTGCGCTTGCAATCCCCTCGGTGTTTTTCAACAAAATGGCTGATTTGGGGGATGATACCGGAGCGAGAGCTCTACTGGCCCTCAAATCTGCGCCTTGTAGCCCGGTGGCTGTTTCTGCCCCGCCCGTGTACACTCTCTCCTCGACTTCGCCCGGGATCACATTATCTCCGTCGCAGGCCCTCGCTCGCCTGGAAGGCAGGGACTTCGAGTTCACCATGCGCCAGAGGACGGTCACCGTGGGGCGGAATTCGTCGCACGGCTCCGTGGATGTCAACATGGGCCACTCGAGCTTCATTTCCAGGAGACATCTGCAAATCACCTTCGAGGAGCCGCATTTCTACCTGCGCTGTCTCGGCAAGAACGGTGTGTTTGTCGACGGCGTTTTCCAGAGGAGAGGCGCACCTCCACTTCTCCTGCCGAGGGAGTAAGTTACTAAAATGAGATGTGTTGCTTTACATTAGCTTCTGTAGCCAGATGGCAAGCACCTATTCACTTAGAGAGCTAGTGCACTATACATACAAGAGATTAAATTAACGTGCTTGCTTAATGCAACGCCTGCATAATCCGACTAAAATACATGCGAAAGTATACGAGAACTGTCACAAACTGACTTCAATATGCAGTTTATGATGTACAAATAGTTTTGTGCATTCATTTAGAAAAAAAAATGTAACTTTGAATGGATTTCCCGGCTACAAACTTGTTTCGGCTCAGGATAATCTGACAGTATGTTCATTAATCTGCTATTGTGAGTGTAGTAAATCGATCAGTTAAAGGGATAGTTCACCCAAAATTACAATTCTGGTATCATTTCCTCACTCTCAGGTTCCAAATTTATATGACTTTATTTCTTAGGTTTATTTCTACAACTTTTTTTTTTTTCAGAGTAAATGTTGACCAAGGCAATCAGTTCTGGCTAAATACGGACATCTGCATATGATCGGAACTCCACGCAGCTCCCGCGCTACTCTCCATTGGAAATGAATGGCTGAATGACCGGTCTGTCGCTTGTCGTTTGTCGGAGATAGTGAAAAGCCGGCTGGAAACGCCAGTATGACGAGGATCGTTTTCATTTTAAAACATAAAGGCACCAGTGTAAATGTAACCTTACATCTATGGGGGCTGGGACTCATTCGCACTACAGCCTCACGTGTGCGCCACATCTCTGAGTGTAACCGGTGTAAACTAGTAGGTGTCTTCGACTTGACGCGGACTGACTGTGCAAACCGATTGGTGTATTACAGTACCACGAGAGCTAAAGAGAGCAGACTGCTCCGTGCGCTTTCGAATCGCTCTCGCAGATGTCAAACACTGATCGATCTGCGCCGCACCTCTTCTGGTCGAACACACCGGCTAGTGCTGCAGGCTTATTGGCTCACTGACACTGATGAGATTAACCCCTTAGGTATCGAAATTTGGTACCGAACGACGAGACGTTTTTCGATACTCGATGGTGTCGAGGCATTTCGGTCGGTGCCTAAAAAGTATCGAACTCGATACCCAGCATTAGTTAAACGTTTCACATTACGATCACAGGAACTGTGTTCATGGCAGAGGCTGGATCCACCGCATGATTTTGTGGGCAGATGTGAGATACAGGCCTCATTTATGACACATCAATAGTAACTGCTTTATGATCCTCTGCTGACAAAGAACAGAGGGGAAAACCTAGTGATACTATAATGAAGCACTTCGAACAACACCGTTTGAGTGGTAATATGGCATTGTTTGTACACAATCCTCATGCAGTCTTATTTGTTCGGATTGTTTTGAACCGTAAATAATTATTACAGTTGTCAGTATAAAGTCTCATCAATCTTTGAATTATTTTTTTTAATTTGAAACAGTTTTTCAAATATTTAATTTCAAAGTATTTGAGTTTTCAAAGTATCTTATTTTCTTTTCAAATTTTTTAGAATTAGTTTTTAACGGGTTTGGAATTTGATTTCAAATTTGAATTTATTTAAACAAACAGTAAAAAAAAAAAAGTAGTGAAGTTTTTAAATCTTGCATTTAAAATACAATTTTGTATTTAAAGACAATGTTTTTTTTAACTGTTACTTTCCCCATGTTTTAGTTGTTGTTCTGCTTACACTAAGTTATAAGTTTAGCAGTATAAATAGTTATGTTTATCTCGGTAACAATCACCTTTAGAAAACCAATCTGTGAGTAGTTGATGATCCTACGTCATTAGGTGTTTTTGATCAAGTGCACCGCAAGTAAACTGGTTTCAGTTTCAGTAATCTGTAGAGTTAATCAGAATGAAAGCAGTTCTCATGCCATTGACAGTTTTAGCCTCAAATGTAAACACTAATGATTGAGAAGTGGATAAACTAGTTAACTAGATCAGACTGAAGGTCCCTGCATAGTTTTTCTGAACAGTAGTGGCTGGAGTTCAGCTCTTTGTGACTAAGATTTTATTAAATTCACTATTTGGCTTCTTCGTTCTTATCGAAATATCTTTTACTGTGTCTCGGTGTATGCCATCTGTCTTATCAAAGCAGAATAGATCTGTGGAGCTTGTTGTCATGGAGGTCAGAGCGACTATTCCTGCAGACTGCTGTGAAAACACGGACAGACTGAACCCGTAATGGGCGCATGCCAAGCCAACCATTCAAAACAACTGCAGTGTGTATGCTGTAGCATTAAAAGTGGCTTCCTTGTGCAGTACTTGTGTAAATACATCCAGTGGAGGCGGTGCACCAATTCATCATTCTCTCTGGCCGACAAAACTCAGAAAAGGGGTGGAAGGGAGGGTTCCTTTTTACTCGAAAATTCACATTTTGTTGGCCCCAAACAGAACCATGGCCTAAGAATTACATGATTAGAGTTTTCACACAGATTGTTTGACTTGTTTTGTGTTCGCTATCCACGTATCATCTTTAACGGCAAAGTAAAGGTTTGATTATCGATCTAAAATGCCATACAAACCTTTCTACAGGCTCAGGGACATATATTCAGTATAGCAGTATAGAAATCATCTCTGAACGGTGTGGCTGTTGTTAATGTTAAATGAAGTCTGTAGGGGAAATGCAACAAAACACTAGTTTTCTACCAATCTCAAAACATTAGAATTAATGGTAACACTTTATTTTAGGGTCTCTTAACTAGTTGCTTATTGGCATGCATATTACTAGAATATTAGCCATTTATTAGTACTAATTAAGCGCATATTAATGCCTTGGCTACATGACCTTATTCTACATCCCTAATTCTTTCGAATACCTAAACTTAACAACTACCTTACTAACTATTAATAAGCAGCAAATTAGGAATTTATTGAGGGAAAAGTCGTAGTTAATAGTGAATGTGTTCCCTAATTTGAAGTGTTACCGAATTAATACTTTCATTTAGCAAGGATGCAGTGACAGTAAAGATATTTATAATGTTACAAAAGATTTTTCTTTCAAATAAATGCTTTTTTTTTTACTTTCAATTCTTCAAAGAATATTTAAAAAAAATAATCACAAAAAAATTAGGCAGCTGTTTTCAACATTGATAATAATAAGAAATATTTCTTGATCACCATATCATCATATTAGAATGATTTCTGAAGGATCATGTGACACTGAAGAGTGGCGTAATGATGGAGAAAATTCAGCTTTAACATCACTAGAATTACAATTTAAAATATAAAGAAATAGAAAACGGTTATTTTAAAATTATAATAATATTTTACAATATTACTGTTTTTACTAGGGCTAGGTATCATTCAAAAATTTGATATCAATACCGATACGATACCTTGGCTTCGATACTGGTTCCTTAACAATACTTTTTTTGATACCAATTTTATGAAATCCATTTTAACAAGATTACATTACCTAAAAAAATTTGGTTTTATTTTTTCAGATTGTTGACATTTTTACAGACTCAAAGACTGATATCCTGAGCCACTGCACAAAGGAACAAAATGTAACACAATAAATCAGTGCAAATAGTTTAAATAAAGTTCAAATAGTTTTCAGTTTCCACATCTTTTTAGGCTTTACACTGGTGCATTTTCGTTTTAAAATGTATAGCTTAGACAGAATCATAATTTCTATTCATTTTCCACTGATATACTGATAAGCATTAGCTGCTTCCAGCGCTGTCTGCCTGTGTTTTCTCTTCCGCGATCGCTGTTCTGACTCGCTGCTCATATGTCAATCATATTACACGTTCATAACCCGCCCTGTCTCCTATGACAAATGTCCATTACACTTCCGTGTTCAGTTCTGTACATGAGAAACCCAGGAAAACATTTCCACGGATAAAACATGAAACGAATAAACACATGATTATGACAGTATATGTTTTGTATGTGATTTTCATGAGATTCTGCCTATTTTCATAACAATACAGGGTATTTACATTAGAAATTCTAAGCAGGAGTAGCGCGTAGCTTGATGTAAAAGGCTACAAAAAACATATTTCAGCAACATTATATGGCCAAAACTAGGGATGCACCGATACCACTTTTTCCAGTACTCGCCCGATACCGAGTACCGATACCGATATTTTTATTGCATTTGTAAATTTTTTAAATATTGGGTACAGAAACAAAAAGAGTATGTATAATGTTAGTTGGTTAACTTTATTTATCAAATAGATACAGTCAAACCAAAATTTATTCAGACACCTTCAACTTTTCTCACATTATCACCGTTTATTCGCTATAGTTTAGAAAATGGTAATAAAATATGACAAGAACTCAGAGTTAAACGGAGTCAGAAAAAATTCAGCTTGATAATGTTAGATAACTTTGATAGAAAGGCATGTAATGGATTACAATCAACCCAAAATTATTCAGACAGCTGTTAGTATGACAGTATTTACACAACTATCAATACTTAGTCGGGCAACCCTTAGCCTCAATGACAGCCTGTAGTCTCCTGGGCATGCTGTCACCCAGCTTCATGAAAACCTCAACTTCA